CCGGAGCATCCGTGTGCTCCTGAGCAGTGTTTTCCGGCGGTAATGAGAAAGGTTTTCACTGGCGTGGCAGGCAGCCCGGGCCGGTCACAGAATCATAGAATCAACCGGGTTGGAAGAGACCTCATAGATCATCGAGTCCAACCCTACTGTCGTTACTAGACCATGGCACTAAGTGCCACATCCAGTCTCAGCTTGAAAACCTCCAGGGATGGTGAATCCACCACCTCCCCGGGCAGCCCATTCCAATGCCTGATTACTCTCTCCATAAAAAAATCTCTTCCTAATATCCAACCTAAACCTCCCCTGGCAGAGCTTGAGTCTGTGCCCTCTTGTCCCACTGCTGGTTGCCTGGGAGAAGAGACCAACCCCCACCTGACTCCAACCTCCTTTCACATAGTTGTAGAGGGCGATAAGGTCAGTCCTTCTCTCTCTGTGCCAGGGGAGATACGTACCTTTTCACCAAAGGAAGGAAGTATTTTGAAGGATGGAGGGAGAAACAGCGTTTTTCAGTTTTCCAGCAGCTAGTGAGAAAGGTTTCTGCTGGTGTGGCAGGCAGCCCACTGCCTGTCCATCCTCTCGCATGCTTGCCAAGGAAAACACATACCTGTTCACTAAGAGGTTTGGGAAAGGAGTATTTTGAAGGGTGGAGGGAGGAGCAAGGGGGCAGACCTTTATGCTGCTTGAGAAGCTTGGTGCTTGCCAAGTAACCTTGTTTTTTTCTGGACTTAAGGGAGATTCTCATGATCTATGGAACACATACAGGAGAGGTTTTAGATAAAAAGCAAATTAAAGGTAGGCAGTTGTACCAAAGGAATGAATGCTGAGTTTAGTAAGAAAAGCTGAGTGCTGATCCCTTTTGGAAAAGCAGATTCCTGCATTAAATTAGAAGTCTGATATAGGAGTTGTAGCTTAGGGTACACCTCGTGTCTTTTATTTGAAAATTGTAATCTCACCTTCAAGTTTTGTTCTGAAGGTCTGTTCACTCTTCTCATCTCCAAAACATTAATTCAAAAACTAGCTTATATTCTACTTCAGCCTTTGCTTTCCCACTAAGATCATGTAAATGCTTAGCCTATGTTTTTGGTTACAGCTGCTTGAACAAGTAGTGCAACAAGGGCTGAAGGAGCTGTTCCAGTGTGACATCAAGCTAAATGTATAATGATGTGAAACAAGATCTCCTGTTAACTCAGGCTCTGTAAAGTCACATCTTTATGTAACACATCAAATGCTGTTGTGTAGCATATAAAATGCAAGTAGAACCCCAAACCAAATAATTTATTTGGTGCACCTACAGACTTCATGCAAATTGATACATTTTTGAAGATGATAACTTGGTATTACATTGTTTCATCTCATTTTGGTATAATATACTGTTGTCTTTGAAAAGCAGAGGTTTGTTTTGTATTTCTGGTTTAGTTGGGTTTTTTGAGAACAGATTTGAGGACAGGACTTACATTACAAATATATTCCTAATAGGTGTCTTTTTTGATCCCGGACTGTGGCATACTACCTGAAGTGCTGAAAAGCACAATTGCAGATATTGGAGAGTACTACCTGGTGAGGAATTTAGCCCTTCATGAATTGGTCGCTCACGAATTCATTGATGCATTTGTAAAGAAAGGTAAGAAGGAAATCAGAATGTGACACACAGAGTAATAGTGTCTTTTTTTCATAGCATGGTAAAATCCATGTATTATTTATTCTGAAAAGTATTTTAAAGGAAAGGAAGGAAAAGTAGTAAGAAAATTCTGCATTAATTTCTTTATTTGCTGCTTTTTCTGCTTTGTGATGTGTCAAAATTTGTTTACACCCATTAGATCAAAAACTCCTATGATTGTTCTTTATTAATTTCTCCCTATTCCATCTTAATTCTCTGGCTTCCGTGTATCCTCACACTTGTTCTTCTACACATCATTTTTATGCAGATTTCTTTAGACATTGGCTCCCTTCTCCCTTTCTCATTCCTTCATACTTCAACTCAGGGTGGTGTTAACTGTGTTCCACAGCAGGCAAAATTCAAAATATGCTTCCTTATTTTTTCTTTTTTTTGCTAATGGAGCTGCAGCAAATGATCCTCACACAGTAAGAGCAAAGAGGATGTGAAGAAAGATACAGGCTCTGCCCAGCCAACTTGCTGTTGCATACACAGACCATGCTGTTTTCATCTGGCAGGGCTTCTTCTTTGGCTTATGACAGCTATTGTATCCTTCAGCTGACAGCCAGGGAGGGGAAAAAAAACTGTACAGGGAAAAGAGAGGAGAACAGAGAACATGTAGGTGAAAGAGGAGAATTTACTTGCTGAATGCAGGACTCTTTTCTTATTTCCTTTGATCTCATTAATGTGTTTTATGGAAGCAATAACATTTGTATGCAGAGTTCACAGGGTCTGACACTTTGTGACCAAAATTGGTTAGTGGCAGATAATGCTGCAAAATATGTTTAGTAATGTGAACTTCTTCCATCTTGTCCTTGTGTGAACTGGTAATAGAAATGTGTCTGAAAGAAGATTGGGGTTTCCATATGCTGAGTGGGAAGAGTCACAGGTGGAATGAAATTTTCATATTGGGGCATTTTCATATTGGGGCGTATTGTTAATGTCTGTATTACAGGTCCTTTAAAATATTGCCAGTCCAAGGTTTCTAAAAGGAATAATGCTATTTTGCTTGAGAATGTAGAATAAAGTTACTTGACAGAAACACAAAGGCTTAGAGTGATTCAAATGGTATTTGCAATGTTTGGTTATCTTGAGGTGAATTTTTTATATTGTCATGTCTGTCTTTAGAGACTCTGTAATCTCACAGTTTTCTGCTTTACTGTTAAAGGTTCCTGCTATGCACTTACCTATAAGACAAAAATTGATCAAGACAATACTGCAGCTCTGCTACCAAATGGTATGTGCTTTTGTTTTGGTTTTTGTCATATGTATTGATTGTGGTCTGGGTTGTTGGTTGGTTTGTTTTGTTTAAATTTGAAAGTATGTAAACTGGAAAATAATGCTTACTGTACTTGCCAACTTCATTGGAAATATGTTTGAATTGGAAAAATGCTTATTTAACTTTGTCCTTCATTCATGTTATTGAATTATTTATTTCATCTAAAGGAAATTTTTTTAAAAATCAGCTTCACGTGTAGTCAGATTGTCAATGCTTCAACAACAGTCACAACCAGATTTACTGGAAGGTGTCCTTACCCATGGCAGGGGGTGTTGGAACTATATGATCTTTAAGGTCCCTTCCAAACCATTCTATTATTCCATGATGTGTCTGTGATTCCTTGAGAATTGTGTAACATGTTAAAAGTTTGTTTCAGTGGCATCACAGTTTTATGATCACAAAACTTCCCACATCACAGATGGCATTTTACATGTAGAGAAAATGAAGCTGTTTGGGGCTTCAAATACATTGTATTTTTTCTGTTTAATTGTGTATCAAATATAATAGAAATATGAATTGGCCTCTCAGCCCTCTAGCCCAAGGTGCTGTTATATGACAGATGCCTATCAGGGCATGTGTAAATTCAGATTCTTCAGAAGAATTTCACAGATCTGTTAGCACAGTGCTAGCAAAATGGATATTTTATAGCAACTGAGTTTGTATGATACAGGTGTTACAAGCTGTGCACAGTGCAGAGACTGTTACAGTTCCTGGTGATACCACTATCTGAAATCATCATCAGCCTTACTTGTTCTTCTGTATTATACTGTTAGTTGTACAGTAGAACCCAAAGACTGTAGTAGAGAGTTGTGGTGTGAAATTCTGTACCAAAGCAGCAGCTGCCAGATTTGGTTTATGAACACAGAAGTGGAGTTGTTCCAGCACATACCTGCTCATCGCTAACAAGCACAGTTTACTCCATCTGAGTAGTCCCACTGGAGTTGGAGGAACTGCTTTTGCTTATTTAGTTGAGCAGAGTGTGTGTGAATGTTTACTAAATCAGGCTCTAGGGTAATGTAGTCCTCAGCTAATGACACAGCAAGGACTAGGGGACAAGTGGAGGAAAGATTGAGACAATGAACTGAGTAGTACTGTAAAAAAAAGATGACTATCTCAGGAATAATATTACACTTTTCTTATTCTAGTTCATAAGACCTGTGATAAAAAAAGAGTAATTGAGATCTGCTGCTCCAGCTGGATCCCTGTAAATCTATGGGGCCTGATGGTATTCATCCAAGAATACTTAAAGAGCTGGCTGATGTCATTGTGAGGCCTCTCTCAATGATTTTTGAACAGTCTTGGGAATCTGGCGAGGCCCCAGTTGACTGGAAGCTGGATAATGTTGTGCCAGTTTTCAGAAAGGGCAAGAAGGATGACCCTGGTAACTATAGGCCTGTTAGTCTCACTTCAGTGCCTGGTAAGTCCATGGAAAAGATTATTCTGGGAGGTATTGAAGAATACCCGAAGTACAAGGCAGTCATTGGTCACAGCCAACATGGCTTCACGAGGGGTAAGTCCTGCTTGTCAAATCTGATTTCCTTTTATGACAAGGTAACTCACATAGTTGATCAAGGGAAGCCAGTTGATGTAATCTTTTTGGATTTCAGCAAAACTTTTCATGCAGTCTCTCACAGTATCCTTCTGAGCAAAATGTCCATCACACAGCTGGATAAACACATTGTGCGATGGGTGAGCAGCTGGCTCAGGGGTTGGGCACAAAGGGTTATAGCAAATGGGAGTACATCAGGCTGGCAACAGGTCACTAGTGGGTTCTGCAGGGCTCCATCCTAGGCCCAGTGCTCTTCAACAGCTTCATAAAGGACTTGAAGGGCTGCTAATTATGTTTGCAGATGATATAAAATTGGGACGAGCTGTTGACTCCCTTGAAAGCAGAGAGGACCTGCAAAGAGATCTTGTTAAATTAGAGGGGTGGGCAATCACCAACTGTACGAAGCTGAACAAGAGCAAGTGCTGGATTCTGCACCTGAGATGGGGCAACCCTGGCTGTGGAATGAGATGCTGGAAAGCAGTACTGCAGAAAGGGACCTGGGGGTCCTTGTTGATGGCAAGTTGAATATGAGTCAGCAGTGTGCCCTGGCAGCCAGGAGGGCCAACTGTGTCCCCGGGTACATCACACAAAGCATTGCCAGCTGGTCGAGGAAGGTGATTATCCCACTCTGCTCTGCACTGGTGTGGCCTCACTCCAAGTGCTGTATGCAGTTTTGGACACCACAATATAAGAGAGATATAAAGCTGTTAGAGAGCATCCAAAGGAGGACAATGAAGATGGTGAAGGGCTTAGAGGGGAAGCCATACAAGGAGCAGCTAATGTCACTTGGCTTGTTCAGCCTTGGGAAGAGGAGTCTGAGGGAAGACCTTATAGCAGTTTACAGCTTCCTCATGAGGGGAAGCAAGGGGGCAGGCACCAATCTCTTTTTTCTGGGAACCTAGTGACAGGACCTGAGGGAATGGCCTGAGGATGTGTCAGGGGAGGTTTAGGTTAGATATTAGAAAAAGGTGCTTCACCCAGAGAGTGTTTAGGCAGTGGAACAGCTCCCCAGGGAAATGATCACAGCATCAACCGTGACAGAGTTCAAGACATCACTCTCAGGCATGTGGTGTGATTCTTGGGATGGTCCTATGCAGGGCCAGGAGTTGGACTTGATGATCCTTTTGGGTCACCTCCAGCTCTGAATATTCTGTGATTTTATGAGTTATAACCTTTTTTGTAAGGATTAACATGGTAATCCATTTAACTGGAACTAAGGAGTCTGCATTACGTTAGTAATGCCATTGATCCAAAGCTAGCATTGTAAGAGGTATATGGTTCTCAGAAGACTTCAAAGGCAACCAAGTACAAGATTATTTCTATTAAAGTTTGTTTTGTTTATAGGAAAGTTAATTCTATCAGTGGATAAGGATACTTATGAGGAACTTGGACTGCAGGGTCACCCTTCTCGGTATTCTGGCAAAAAAGCAATGAGATATAGTAAGTATTATTTTTGTTAACAGTGCTTATTTTCAGTTCTGTCTGTGAAGCACCTTGTTAGGCTGTTGAACCAGCAATGTTGAAACTTTGCTTTTCTTAAAATTAGTTACTGTCTAGGTCATATTTTTCCAGATGCAAAACAAGGACAGCCTGAAGAGCAAAAGTACCTTTTTTTCCCCTAATAATAAAGCAGCTATAAGGAAACAAATATGTGATCTTTTCAGTACTCTTTATAATTTTTAATTTCTGGGTTTTTCATTTTGTTGTTTATACTGAAATGATGTAGGACTCAAGAATTTTTGCATGCTGTGCATAGTATCTATGCCTTTTGATTGAAATCAGAAAATACTCAGCTAATTAAGGTCGTGCTTCCAATTTGTACACTATACCAGAAAAAAACAATCCTGTGAAGAGCCTCACCCAAGACTGCTTGCTTGAAAGGGAGAATTGTACTACATTGACACATTTAAAATGAGAATCTCCATATACCAAGTACTGGGAAAATGTTGTGATTTTTTAACAGCTGCAGAGGAGATATCTTGAGGGAGGCTCTTTGATAATTTGTCATTTTAGTAAATAAAAAAGCCCCAACATGAACACTATGCTGTCTCAAATGTATTGGAACTTGCAGCGGTTGATAGGTAGTTACCTAAATACTTCAGAAGGGGAAACTTGTTATCTATAGTATTTTGGCAAAATGGGATATTGTATTACCATTTAGTTTGTCAGTTAAAATGTATCAGTTGAAAAATAAATGTAACTTTTAACCACCTAGGAAAAAAAAAGCCCTGCTGAGAAAGTGTCACAGCTTTGGTTGTTAGAAATTCTAGCGCATTTTTACTGCTAGTAGCTTACCTAGTTAGCAAGATATTTGTAAGGCACTGCTTAGGGACCTCTGCCAGTGCCACTTCAAATGGAATCTGTCCCTCCTGTCCCTAGAAGGCTGTTCCAAATATATCCAAATAAGGACAGCAGGAGGTGAATATTTATTTACATAATGTGGAGTTGTATTTGCATAGTCAAAACCTTTGTAAAGATGCTGTATATGTGAAGAGGAAGGTCGATGTTCTTTGTGTTTTTCATGCTTAGGGACCTCTGCCAGTGCCACTTCAAATGGAATCTGTCCCTCCTGTCCCTAGAAGGCTGTTCCAAATATATCCAAATAAGGACAGCAGGAGGTGAATATTTATTTACATAATGTGGAGTTGTATTTGCATAGTCAAAACCTTTGTAAAGATGCTGTATATGTGAAGAGGAAGGTCGATGTTCTTTGTGTTTTTCATGTTCTTTCAAGATGCTGTATATGTGAAGAGGAAGGTTAATGTTCTTTGTGTTTTTCGTGTTCTTCTATTTCTTATTGAGTTTATTATTAAAATTTATTCCAGTTGAGTATCAATTGCTTTTGTATGTTTTCTGCAGTTATCACTATTGACTTGACTGATGCTGGCTTTCACCCTGAGAGCAAGAAACACAGCAGAGTGCTTTGGGCCTTGAAAGAAAAGAAACCTTTAGAATTTGACTTCCTAATGGCTTGGTATAGTACAGGTAATAAGTAAATGTAAAGCTAGAATTTAACTGACATAAAGTCCAAATATTTTTAGTTTACTGTTCTTCTGTAGTGATTGTACAAATGCAGTTTTAATGGAGGGAAAAATTAGATTAAAATGTGTTTGGGTGAAACTTTTTGTGTATTTTGTTTATTTGTTTGGGAGGTGTGTGGTACTTCCTACATAGCAGAACATTTCAGTTCAGGAACACAACAGTGATTCATAGGAGATAGATTAGTTGCTTCATTTCCTTTTCTCTATGTTGCCCAGGCTTTCTGGCATCACTTTGCCTATTTGATGATGCTGCCTCTTCTTTACAAATTTGTGACATACATAACCATTATTAATATGCATTTTGTGAGGTTTTATAACTAATACACATTAAGTTACATATCTGGTTACATACTCGAGATGGGGAACTTTAATTTCATCAGTAGCTATAGAACACATACAGATTCCCTATTTGTGTCGTGTGCCATGTGCTCCGATACATACACAGTCTGCTGTTTTATCACTTTATTCTCAAGCACTTGTCTGAGTTTGGAGCCAAGTAAGAAGTTGTTATAAGAAACTGTATTGTTTAAAATCATCTTCTAGTATTTGTTTATCTACTGTTTTCTAATAACATATTTTCCCCCTGGGACTTGTCTTGTTTTTCCTTTGGAGGTCATTTTTCCAAGTCCTCAGTTGTTTGCATTACCTCAGAACAGGCTGTATGTAGGGATATATAATATTTGCATAGAATTGATGAAAAGTGCTAGAGTTTGTACTGTCAAAACAGGTTTTCCTCATCACAGATGTGTAGCTTTTAGTGTAGCTTTTAGTGTTGCTCTGCTTTGAGCCTCCACACTAGTGAGGAGGGATATTAGAAAGGTCCCTGAGAATGCTTTCCCATCTGCTCTTTACAGTACTCATTTTTCCTGGCTCTTATGACCAAGTTTCAGAGGAGGTTAACTGATCTGAGAAATGAAAGCTGCTTTACAAGCTCCTTTAGGAGTGTCCCATGTTTCACTTTAGTCCTTCATGTTCCCCCTCACACCTTTTAAGTACTAATCATATGACAAGGATCCTTCCTTGTTTGTCATACAGAAATTGTTTAAAGGCTTGCAATTCCCATCCTTGTAGTCTTTTGGAAAGAGTCACAGTGAAGGCTGTTGCTACCATAAATGGTGACATGAATCCAACTAAGGTAGCAGATTTTCTTGTTCAGCTTGCTTGGATTTACTGACCCTGGGCAGAGAGGAAAATGCCTCTAGGGCTGGTATGTTTCTTATGTTTGTTGCTGACCATGTTAGCATTCAGGAAGGACACCGTTTCTTTTCCTCACTTTCTTACATCCCCCAAACAGGTCAGGTCAATCATTTCCTGAATATGGAGTTAAATCTGAATGTCTTTCTGTGCAAAAGTCTTCTGCTCATAACACGTGAAAGACTATTAGTGCCTTAGTACTGACAAAAATAAAACTTCTATAGATTTTTATTAATAGACATGAGACACTGTAGATTCTGCTGGAAGGGGAAAACAGGGCTGTATTTTGTGAAGAGAATCCATGTCCTCTGTGAGCATTCTACTTTCAGCCTTCCTGCTGGTAACTGGTGTTTCTTGCTGTGGCCAGCGCTGCAGGATTTTTTGTTTTCATACCTGTTTTTCCCACTTAGTGGTTTTGGCACCAAGAGGATCAGAAAAAGGGAATATGGAATGTCTCACATCTTTAATGACAGAGGCAAAACAATCTTTTCTTTTCCATTGCTGTAATTTTTGTGACAGCTTTACATGTTTATTGAATGAAATTCACTGGCATCCAGAAAGCTTTGACAATGTGCCTGGTTGTTGTTGACATGGAAAGCTATGCTGTAGCTAGAGGAATCATTCTGTTGGAGTTCTGACTGTAGTCTTTGAGATTTCCTGAAGTTAGGGCTCTAGCTGAGGCTCCCTTGCAGCAGGCATGTAAAATGTATGGGGTTTTTTCATATTTTACTAAGAATTCTAGGTCAATATTATATATTCTTTGAACATGTTAGTCTAAAAAATGCCAAGAGGAAGTACAGGCTTAAGTTCTGCTCTGGCACTCTTCAGACTTAGATTTATCTATATAAAAATACTAAATTAAGAATTCAACCACTGCCTAGCTTTGTAGCTGTGCTTTTTGGTTCTTGGCCCGCCTTTTTTTGAAGGATGACTAAAAACGATAATTTTAACCCTCCTTTTTCTACTCCCCCAAATGATTGTCCATGATGAGAGAGATATGGCTGATGGAGCTTAGGCATTCCATATTTCCTGGTAGCAAGTCTTAGGTATTGTATTCTGCAGTGAACTGTATCCTGTTCTTGATTGCCCTCTGTTCATACATGCCTTTTCTGTGGTATTTAAATGTTGTTCTGCACTTCATACTTCTCATGAATAAGGTATTGTTTCTTGGTCTCCTAGAGACCTGTTGTGACTTTGTGAAAATAGCACACAGTGTCTGGAATTTGAAGTTTAGCAGAATTGATTCCATGTCAATTATCTTACAGCTTCAAAAGCAAGTTGGTTAATATCTCTGAATTTACAATATGCTTGCTTAGGTTATGTTAATTTTTTAGTCTGGGTTAGTATTTTAGAATTTTACCTGCTGGTTTGGATCACTTATTAGTACTTTCCACAAGTTATGTTAATTTTTTAGTCTGGGTTAGGATTTTAGAATTTTACCTGCTGGTTTGGGTCACTTATTAGTACTTTCCACACGTCCATCAAGGTACATTTAAGTCCTACAGCTGTACTGCATTTGAAGACTTATCAATGTTTTCTTTACCCTGTCTTTCTTCTAAGTCTCTGTGCTCCAGACTATCCTAGAATTCCTCTTGACATCACTGATAAATCTGTTCTTAAACCTGTAGTCACCTGCTCACTTTTTCATTACTCAGGGAAAATGGTGTTCTGGGATGACATTCGTGCTCTGTTTCTTGTGTTCCTTTTCAGGAATACTCTTGAGTTACTCTTTCTAATGAGTTGATTTTATTACTTAACCAGTTAATCCTGCTTGAATATTCTATTGGCAAATCTATACTTGCTAGTTTAATAGTAAATGTACTGAGCTATACTGAGTTGCTGAATCTTGTACTAATTTTTATTTCCAAGGAGATAAGGAGGCTGAATATTATATGGCTTTTGCCAAAGATGACAACGTGCAAGAAGTTTTATGCTCCAATTTTGTATACATATGCAAAGGTTTCATGTATTCAATGCTCCTTTTGTTCAGTAGTTTTGTAACAGCTGTTTGTGGTACTGTGTTGCTAAGGTGCAGAAGGATCAACATTGATGTCACACTTTTCAAAAAACCAAATAAAGGCCCTGAAGCCAAAAGTAACATTCAGCACATTAAGGAACTTGCAGTGTCCAGTGTTACGAAGTACCAACCTGGAAGGAAAGCAGGAGGAGTTCTGCAGTACAGAGGAACTCTTTGAATGGCTGGGGGCTGTCTGCAACCAGGTTAGCTTGTAAGTGTTTGAAGTTGTTTCATCTTTAAATACATTTTAAGTAAGGAAAGCCACAATTTATTTTAAGGAACAGCTGAATAACAATTGAGACAGATACATTTCTATAACTCAGAAATCTGTTGTGCAGTTAAGCATTTGTTCTAAGTCTTGAATGACTTACCCCTGCTTTTAAAGGTACCCATGTGTACTGGTTTTGGCTGGGATAGAGTTAGTTTTCTTCATCATACCTTGTGTGGTGCTGTGTTTTGGATTTGTGACCAAGAGTGTTGATAACATGGGGATGTTTTAGGTGTTGCAGTAGTGGTGTTTAGTGCTTACTAGGCTTAACCCACAGCACCATGAGATCTTTTGTTATTAACATTGCTTGGTCATTAGTTGGTTTGGCATTAATTTAGATTATATTCATAGATACTACTTGTTTGGTACAAGTTTTGATTACTAAGACTTCCTATAGAATACTGAAAGTATGTGTATTTTAGTTGCTTTGTTGTTTTGGTTTTTTTCAGTGACAACAAATCATCTAGCTTCTTATCAACCTATTGCTGTCCTGAGCCCAACACAGTGGTGGACAAAGCTTTTTTGTGCACAATCACAGGATTTATAATTCCTGAGAAGATAATTCAGTTATTGGAGCAGCTATGGTAAGGGCTGACAGGAGCACATTGCTAGAACACTTGTACTTTTAACACTTTTTTGAAATAATTTTTAAGTACTTCTCAGTAGTGCTGTTGGAGGTAAATAGCAAAATATATAAAATGAAGACTTTTTTTTAGTTAGAAAATGAGCCAGAAGCTGGACTTCAATATGGATGCTTCAAATCAGAAAATGCCTGCCCTGTATTCTGGTCATGACTTTGTTTTTTATATGAGTTTCTGAGAAACTGTGACTGTATTGAGCTCCTACATTTTTAAAATTTCCCCTGTCTATGGAAATCAGGTGCCCTGAAATATGTCTGATCTAGTACTTTTAACTAGTGATGGAAAATATAATTGAAATCCCTTTATGAGACCAAAAAAGACTATCAGTGTACTTCAAGGTTATTACAGCATTACAGTAAAATATTTTATAGTGAGGTTTTTTTGAATCAAGTATTGTAACACAGGACACTGGACAGTGATGCATGGGGTAGCTGCAGTTCTAATTCAACACCAAACTACATGATACTGGTGTGTCATGGATGTGTGTGCAATCTGTTGTATTCTACATTAGTGCTACTGGTAGCAAGTTTAGGAAGCTCCTTGCTCCACGTGTGAGACAATGCTTGAAGCACCTGGTTGCTGATGATTGTAGCAGTGACCTGTGACAGTATTGCTGTTGTTTTATCTGGAATATGACTTGTTCTTTCAAAAATTTTCAAATCTCCTGCAGAAAGCCTCCCTAGGCTAGGGCTGGAAAACAAATTTCCTTGGATTTTATTCTCTGCATAAGAGCAGTGGATAATGACTGGCTTTGATTACCTATAATCTATTTCCTTTCTGGTGGTAAAAGTATTTGTGTCAAGCATAGCCTGACTATGTTGCTTCCTTCAATGTCTGTTTTGCCCTGATAGCAATTGTTCTCATTAAATGTTCTATTTTCTCAAAGACAGTGGGTGCTGTGGGAGATTCGTAACTGCTACCTTAAAACTTAGAACTTTTTCTAATTGCTATAACTTGCAGGTTTGCCATGTCTAAAAGTATGGTAGGAACAGTAGTCAGTCTCATTTCATTTAAGAATGTATTCTGATAGACTATTTTCTTTTCATTTTATTTATCATGTGCTGAAGAGAGTCTTTTTTAACTGTTAATAAATTTTCACTAAAGTGTGTCTTTAATTTTTTCTTTTTACAAAACTTTATACTTGAATTTGCTGCCTATTCCATTATAATTGTTGATTACTTTGTCTTCTTGCTTGCAGTTGCTATTTTGATGAGCCAAAACTGGCATATTGGCTGACTTTAACTGTGCATGGCTTTGCAGACAGCCCTGTTTCCTGGAGAGAGAGTGAACATGGTTTCCACAAAGGAGGAGAGAACTTGTACAACTTTGTCATTTTTAGAAATCTGGACTACTGGCTTCAGATGGCTGTAGGGACTCATGATGATTGTCCTCCATAAAGCTACGTCCACAGAAGAACCTAATAAAATATTTTTTATAAAAGTAATCATGTAACAGATTAAGTACTAAGAGTCTGCATGTGGTTTTGTTATTTGTAGCCAATGGAAGGAATGGATTTTTGTTTCATCACTGTCATACTGTGCCTTTTGAAAAACTTCACAATTCCAGCTTTAAGAAGAAGTTACATTTTTGAGAGTTTAAGTGCTCAGGAATTGACTGTAGGTGGTCCATTTCTCCAGGAGCAAATTTGGAATTTGAAAGCTAGTTTTACAGATTGCTTGCTAAAATGTTTGCTAGGAAAGCACATTTTGGGATTTAGTGTTTTATTTCTTTACACTGAAGATCTGTAAAACCTTCATGTTTAAGATATTTCAGCCTACATACTAGCAAATATACACAGGGAGATGTGTTTTCCCTGATTTGGTTGGGGGGAGGAGAATAAAGGTAAGGAGAAGGTGTGTGACAGTGGGAGGAGCAGCCATTGAACATGGAAAAACTAAAGGCTTACTGACCTGCTCTGGATTTGCAGATCCCAGTTGGTTATCAGAAGTATATTTATGACAGTGGTGCAAAAAGCTGCTGCTTGCTTTCTTACTTGACCACACACACACTCACACCCCCACCTAATTTCTTCTGTCAGAAGTAGCTTGTGGTTCTTCCTTATAGGGCAACTCATGGAGCTAAGATTTCACTGTGATGTGAAATTATTGCAGACATGTTTCTGGGAGGAAAGCTGTGAACATGCTCTCACACAATGCAGTTGATGTGAAACAGGTTTCATTAACAATAAGCAGTGATGCTGAGACCATAGGCAGCTACAAAGAATCCAGGTTACTCCTCTTGAAATCCATTAAAGGTTGGATGGTGGTATGGGGAAGAGGAAGAGGGGATTTTGGTTTTGTTTTAAGGCATGGGTACATATCATAAAAGTACAAATGCAGTGCTAAAACTGAAGTTGTTCACTTGATGGAGCAAGAGTTTGGTAGTGGAACTTAGGGCACTGCTGTAGTGGAAACTTCTCCTGTCAGAGTGAGTGGCACAGAAAAGCAGAAAGACCACGGGAAACAATTGAGCTCTGTATATTTTTTTTACATCTGTTCATTGGCTCTTTTCAGTGAGGAGAATCATGCTGGATGACTTACGGGTATTTGTCACACACCTCCACTAAACATAACCTCCTTTTGCTCAAGTTTGTGTCACAAATCTAATGAATCAGCAAAGAGTTTTCTAAATCATTACACTGTTTTTCATAATCATCCTGTCATGAGATGTTTCTAGGAGGTTGTGAGGAGCAGAAATGCCACCTTATCACATGTACACACAATCACAAATTGAACAGAAAAGAATCTGGGAAAGTTCTTATCTTGACACATGACTAGTAAATACTTAACATGGCTAACTTGAGCATTAGGTTTCATTACTATGCATCAATGCAAATTACTTGTTGGCTAAAATCTGCTTTTGAAACTGTCTGTTGAGGCATTATGGACTTTCACAAAAACTAGTAACCAGAAGTGTCTTCCTTTTTCCTCTTGATCAGAGGGTCAAGTTTTTACTTGATCTTTCCTGGAAGTTACACATGAAACAAAAATTAGAATACAAAGTTAAAATCAATTTTTGTGAAAAGTTGGTTGAAGTTTGTAGCTTCATAGCTACAAACTGTAGGTCCAGGGAATGTGCTCATTTGTCTGTCAGATTCTAGTAAAACTTTTTCCTCAACAATGTGTATGCATGCACACGAACAAGTGTAACGTATACTGCCTGGGAAAAATAAAGCTATCCAGAAATAAGGATCCTGTACACATGGATTCACTTCCCAGAGTAGTCCCAGCAGCAGTGCAGCAGCTGTGGGCCATGGCTCTAAACTGGCAGCAGTAGGACCAGGTGAAGCCATTTTTCTAATGAGTACTTGATTGCAGAGCACCTTGGGCTTGTTAGTGGAGTAGCTGCTGCAGAAGTGTTGGTGGGTACAAGGTGATAGCCTTGCTGAGACCATTCTGAAAGGCAAGCTGAGAAGGTGGTACTTCAGCTCTCAGTTCTCCTGAGGCTGTGAGTATTAAGGTTGATCTGTTATGGGTTTCTAGGGTGATCTCATCAGATTGATCAGTAGTTCCCTTAATCTCCTGTCTACATAGGCAATGGGCTGCAAACATTTCTCTGTGCTCAGCGGTGCAGGCAGACTCCTTTGGATATGTTGCTTCCTACAATCCATAGTTGTCTTCTGGTGGTGGCTTCAAATGGCTTTTCCAGCTAAGGAAGGGGTTAAAGTATTGTCTCTGAATCCTGTATCTTGAGATGCTGAATTGGTTTCTAGGTTTCCCTTGTTTTCTTTAAACCTGTACAAGATATAATTGAAAAACCTTGTGCTGTTAATAGTCACTGCAGTTGGTCTACTCTCAGACTTGGTGAGAGGATACTGTGTTAACCAGTCCTGTGCTTTTCTAGCAAAGTCCAATGGTGCACTTGCCTCTTAGGAGACAGGCTCTCCTGTGCTTGCTGGGCTTCAAGGTTGCACAAAAGAGGAACTGGGGATAGGATTTCTCCTTTCTTACCACCTGCAAACAACTGTGAACTTAAGCAAAGATTTTTTCCCTGGGATGGGAAACAGTGGTCTGTTCCTTGCCATCTGTAAGGTCAGATGGAGTACTGCATTGCCCCAGGAGACTCCCAAGCATGGAGGAGACCCTTGCTGAGAACAGGAACAGGAAGGTATTGCTCACATGTTTGGGGAATGGGTTAGGATGGAAGATCTGGGACTAGGCCAGGTGGGCAGTAATTCAGGGAAGAATTGGGCATGGCACATGAGATGGAGATGAAAGTTTTTGCCTGAGAATGAAAGATGGTTGCTGGTGGTGCTCTTGCCCTTTGTGCCTGCCTCTGAGGGAGGACAGGAAAATGCAAAAGGTTCCTGAGAGCTGCAGAAGTGATGGGGAGCAGCTGTGCACCAGCTGCTTCAGAGATCAAAGGGGACTGAATGCTTGCTAACAACTTTTTCCTCTGGGGAGTGTTTTATCTAGCATGGGGAAGGAGAGCCAAATATCTGAAGCAGAGATGAGCCTGGGGCAAGCTGGTTGCATGAGGAGTAGAAGTTTTTGTTGTCCTGCGATGTGAACAGTGATAAGCCACTCCTTGAGAGCCAGGGAACTGCCGTGCTTAAACCTTAGCCCTTCTACTGAGCTGTGTGTTCCTGCCTCTCTGCTGGTGAATGGAAAGGGGATTTTATTGAGAGGTTTCTGGGGGGTAGCAGAACCATCTGGAAATAGGCCACAAAATCATGTTCTTTTCCAGCCACACATTTGAGTAAGTGATTATGTGTATTCAGAAAATGGTGGGTGTGGAACAAATAGAGAACAAAGTTTCATGTTGACAAAGGGGAGATAAAAGCTTAGGCAGTTGGATAGCATGTGTTATGCAAAATTATTCTAAATAGAACATATTTGCCTTTTTGGTTTGCAAATGCTGATTGAATCAGAAATCTGCTTGGAGAAATAAAGGTATGTATCCCAAGTGAGAGAGTAAGGGTGGTGATAGTATTTTGTGTGAGGAAGAGAATACAAGCCTAGGGGCCTCTGAGAAAGTTAGAGATAAGGATGTGAAACAGAAATTTCATTATCTGATTTCAGAGATGTTGTGGTTGTAAAGGGAAAGCAGTAAGATTTGTCATAGATGGGATTTGGGGAATGCAGAAGAGACAAGAATGGGTACTCATCTAAGGCAGGTTGAATGGGAGGTGACAGGGCTTAATGACAGAGAAGCATAAGCTCTGTTTTGGCTGCTTCATGCTGTCATTTACTGGGGAATATCCATTTTGAAGAGGCTAGTCAATATGTAAAGTTGGATGTGTGGAAAAAAAAAAGCCAACAAAACCTCAGGTTCATATGTCATCAGCCTGGGGATTGCATAGCAATCATGGGAGTGAGGAAGGCTGCTCCAAGGTGGGCTGTAATGTTTTTGTTGGAAGTAATTTGTGTGCTTTTATTATCCCTTGCTACAAGCTGCCTCTTTTATCTGTAAGGTTTCTGACAGTGTTACAGAAATGCTAAAAATTTAAAACTGTCTTGAGATAGGTCAGATTCTGTTGATGTTGCTGTTAATTGCATTTAGCAGTTGGGCTGCTCACCCAATGCTGCAGAGCCAGGGTGGAGGTTTGCTCATATAGAGAGTGCCCCTGCTCCAACTACCACAAAAAGAAATGGCAAAGCAGACAAAAGATAAAAGTCTCTCGTTTCAAGAGCTTAGATGGGTGTTTCTCTTCCCCCTCTCCTGGGAGATGCATAGCAAATCAATGACTGATCTGGGATTAGAATGAAGGTTTTCTGTATCTAGTCCAGTATTCTAGCTACTAGATTATAGTTCCTCCGATGCTGTTAATTAAAGATTAATGCATGCAATTGACTGTGTCTTAATGTGGTAGCTACACTGGAACATGCTTGAACTGTTTCTTTTAACCGTTTTTATTCAGAGAGTAGAGCTTAAAAAGCAAAACAGGAGACTAATTCAATTAGTGGGCTATTAAATAACCATCTTCTGACCAGTAGAAATAATTTCAGAAATATCTACTATAAACTAAGGTGACTCCTTATGAATGAGTGGCCTCTGTTCCACTCCAGCACTGCTTAAAAATACTTGTTTTAATGCAGCTGTATACAGGAGCAAAAAGAGGGAGCTAAAGTGACTTGAGCAGTGTTGAGCTTTCCAGAATGCAAGGTGCAGGGTGCCTTGGCTGTGGCAAGTTTCTTTAAGTTGACTTTACTAGAACAATTTATTGAGCTTTAGATATCAGAATATGGATACATTTTACTTGGGTAATTGAAGAATATCCTAAGCAATGGTATATGCTCTTCTGCCACCACCCCCACTGCAGAAGAGAGACAATTGTTGTTATTAATATTATTGCTGTAGAGAATGCAAAGGGACTAGGTTTTATTATGTGATTACCGTTGAAAAGCAGCACATTTCCAATTTTTGTCACTGTTGGAAGTTTTTACCCTTTTCAGTGCTGCCAAAAGGAGTATCCA